CAGACAATACTACCTCCATTATATTCACTTAGACATGTGGATCTATTTGAGGACAATTTACTGAGAGGGATACAACCTGCTTTGCCTGATAATATTATAGGATTCTACATAAACACTTCACAGTGAACCACATAGGTGATCACTATATAAGATGTGTACATTAAAGTAAGTGTTTAAAAAAAACACATGCAATCTGCATGAATACAAGGTTTGCACATACCCTCCAGTACGATGGTATGAGTCAAACACTGAACATTATCATACATATTCCAGCAAAAAGATGTCTTTCAGATAGGGATACTTAAGAGTAATTCTCCTGTAACTTCAAGTTACCACAGATCATACATTAGATCAGTGGTTCTCAACTAGGGGTACACGTGTGTACCCCTCTGAGTACACAGAGATCTTCCCGGGGGTACATCCACTCATCTAGATATTTGCCTAGTTTTGCAACAGGCTACATAAAATGCACTAGCAAATTCAGTACAAACTAAAATTTCATACAGACAATGACTTGTTTATACTGCTCTATATACTATACACTGAAACATAAGTACAATATTTATATTCCAACTGATTTATAATTATGTGGTAAAAAGGAGACAGTAAGCAATTTTTCAGTAATAGTGTGCTGTGACACTTTTGTATTTTTATGTCTGATTTTAAGCAAGTAGTTTTTAAGTGAGGTGCAACTTGGGGGTATACAAGCCAAATCAGACTCCTGAAAGGGGTATAGTAGTCTGGAAAGGTTGAGAGCCGCTGCACTATATCAAGGTAACTCAGCAGCGTACTTGTAGGACATGCAACATTTCAAAGAGATGGAAATAAAAGATGTCCTGTTCGTTAAAGATAATGTAATGGAGGGCAAAAAAAACCCCCGCAAAAACCCAGTAATCTTGTGGGGAAACTCAAAATCAGTCCCTCCGGCGGGGGGGATGGAGGGAAATAATTGCTTTTACTCCAGGAAAGAAAAAGGAATGTACAGAGCAAGGTGAATCCCTTGATTCAATGAGAATGCAATGAGTAGAAAAACATCCCATTCTCTCACTACCCAGTAAGGATGGTGCAAGGAACAGAGAAAACATTGATTCGGTCAGAACCCTAGAGTCACAAAACAATCAGGGCAGGGAGTCCTGCCATGTTTTTGTGGAACTCGTGGCGTGTACCTAAAGCTGTTTGGAATAGCAGTGGTGACAACTCCTGAAATGTTTTTATAAATCTTGCCCTATTGAGGTATTACTTAGAGCTTCGGGTTCTGGAGACAGGTGATTACAAGTGAATCTCAGCATTCCTTTAACAACAACAAAATATATTTCTAGCCCTCATGGTTATGCAGAAAAGCTTGACAATGTGACCCTTGATTAGCATAAAGGCTAAAGAACAAGGAAAATAAGAATAACCGAAATTTTTATGGCTTATGATTTTTTAAGCCAATCTCATGATGTTGGGGGCCTTGACTCAGGATATTTGAAATTTTGTGGTTGTCACTACTGAAATAGTGTGAAAATCTGATTTATAAACACATCCCTGGATTATAAACCAGGTTTGGAATCAGCCCCTTCATACTGCTTTACTAATCTCTAGTTGTGAGCAGTTACACCCTTGCACTGTTGTTCTCACAAATGTTTATGGACAGCGAATTTTGGGCCCAGACCCCATATTTGTTTAATCAAGAAAATAATCTGTTTCAGAAGAAAGCAGTTCATAAAAGTAAGGTCAACCCTTGCGAAAAAAGAAAAATACTACGTGGCACAGACTAATCACTAAGTCCAAAGAGCAAACTCCAAATATTTAATCATCAAAACCTTGAATGATCCCATAGGTTGAAATATGCTCATAAAAGCTACTCAACAATTTTCATAATACAAAAATTCCTTTAAAACTGTGATCTCTTCTCAGAATTCACCAGCAGGAGAATTCATCATATAAACTGTTAGCAAGTCATAGTTCAAACAGATAGAGCCGACCCCAAGATGACAATTCCATAGCTCGACAACTTTGGAGCTTTGGAGCAAAAAGAAAAACTTTCAAACGGTTTCAGGGAATTGAAACTGGGAGTGTGTAAGATATACCCCAGGCCAGTACCCTAACCACCCAGCTAGAGAGAGCCTCTCTTTCTCTGCCCTTCCTGATGAAAGTTTTGTGGAAATTGGCATGTTCCCACCTTGATACTAATTATTCTGGAGGGATCCACATGTCATGTTGTTGGGTCACAGCTGGCCCACTAACCTCTCTGCAGCTGCAGCCCATGAGGCATAGGTCTACCAGCAACAACAAAACTTGGAGTCCCTTTATTACTTCTGCACACACATCCCTTCCCTGAAGGTTCAGGCAGGGATGAAAGTAACTTAAAGGACTTGCCGGTACTCTGGAGTCCTGAGGATCGGACCGGGCCTCAACTGGAAGAAGCGTGGCCTCTACCAGAAGAGGCAGGGCCTTTAAATTCTGGGGCCCTTTAAATTGGGATTTAAAGACCCGGTGCTAGGGCTGTGGTAGCAGCAGCTGGGAGCCCCGGACCCTTTAAATCACCCCCTGAGCTCCTAGTTGCAGAGGTGGCTGGGAGCCCTGGGGCTCGGGGGCAATTTAAAGGGGGCGATTTAAAGGGCCCGGGGCTCTAGCTGCCGCAGTGGAGCCCCAGGCCCTTTAAATAGCCGCCAGAGCCCCAGGGGCCAAGCAGCAGGGCCCGGGGCTCCGGCTGCTGCTACCCTCCAGGGCCCTTTAAATTGTCCCCGGAGCCCTGCTGCCACAGCCCTGGGGTAGCGGTGGTGGGGCTCCAGCGGCTATTTAAAAGGCCCAAGTGGTAGAGGCAGCAGGAGCCCCGGACCCTTTAAATAGCCGCCAGAGTCCCACTGCCACTACCCCAGGACTCCGGCAGGCTCTGGTGGCTATTTAAAGGACCTGGAGCTCCCACTGCCTCTACCGCCCCAGGCCCTTTAAATCATCCCCGGAGCCCTGGGGTAGCAGCAGCCGGGCTACAGCAGCGATTTACAGGGCCTGGGGCGGTAGCGGCAGCAGGAGCCTTGGGTCCTTTAAATCACCACCCGAGCCCCACTGCCACTACCCCAGGGCTCCAGCAGCGATTTAAAGGGCCCGGGGCTCCAGCCACTGCTGGGAGTCCCAAGACCTTTAAATTGCCACCTGAGGAAACTGGTCTGCCCCAGTATGGCACACCGGCTCTTGTCGGCGGGGGTGGCAGGTTTGTAGAAATTTTGGTGGTGCCCAGAATCTGCCCCTGCCCAAACTCTGCCTCCCCCCCCAAACTCAACCCCCCACCTGCCCAAGGCTTTGGGAGGGAGTTTGGGTGGGGAAGAGGTCTGGGGTGCAGGCCCTGGGCTGGGGCAGGGGATTGGGGTAGAGGCTCTGGGAGGGAGTTTGGGGATGGGATGGGGTGCAGAGGTGAGAGCTGTGGGTGAGGCTAGGGATGGGTGTGGCTGGGGATGAGGGGTTTGGGGTGTGGAAGGGGGCTCAGGCAGAGGCTTAGGGTGTGGGGAAGATAAGGGCTCTGGCTGGGGCTGGAGATGAGGGGTTTGAGGTGTTGGAGAGGCTCAGGGCTAGAGCAGAGGGTTGGGGTTTGGGGGGATGAGGGCTCTGGCTGGGGGTATGGGCGGTGGGGTGGGGTGGGGCAGGGCTGGGGATGAGTTTTGGGTGCAGGCAGGCTGCCCCAGGACTGGAGCCAGAGAGGACTCCTCCTCCCAGCCCTCTCCCCACCAGCAACAGCGAGCTCTGGGATAGGGGCCCCCCTCCCCCCCCTGGCAGCACACTCACCCCCACCACTGTCACTGCATGTGCTCCTAAGGCCCCTCTCAGGTCCAGGAATCTCCCTTGCCTCCCCTGTGGTGGGTGCCTTGGGGGGGGGGGGGGGTGTTTTGCCATCACATGTGCACCTTGTCCCCTGCTGCTGCCTCTCACTGTAGCCTCACTGGGGGGAGGGGGCTGCCCCTTGCCCAGCATAGGGCAGGAGCAGTGACTGCAGGCAGGGGGGGCAGCTGTTCTGGTGGAGGGTCCCGCCGGAAAATGAAAGGGTCTGAGGGGGAAGGGCAAGGTAAGGGCAGCCTGCCCTGGCTCTAGTGAATGGGGGGCGCTAGGACCCTGCAGCAGCAGTTGATGCAGGGAGGCAGCATGGAGCTGCAGGGGAGACACAGGGAGGCTCTGCCCCAGGACCCCCGGGGAGGCGCGTGCAAGGGGCAGCAAGGGGGGGGGGGAGCAGGTGGGACCAGCGGGGGAGACCTGGCCCTGAACATTGGTGGAGCCGGGCCCACGAGCCCTCAATATTGCTGGAGCCAGGAGCCCATATAGCTCGCCTCTGCTGCTTGCTCTGGGCTCAGGCAGGGTTTGAGGTGGGTACGATCCCTAGCGCCCCAGTAAGCGCTGCTGACAGTTTCACCTCCACTGGGGGGGCGGGCTGTCCCCTTGGCACCTGAACGCCGGGCAATGTCTCCCGTGTGTCTGCTGCAGGCCCCCACTGCACGTGCAGGCTACTCAGTGGGGCAGATCAGCTGCTGTCCCTTACCCAGCTCTGTGCCCGGGTTTCTAGCCGACATCAGCAGCAGCAGCGGGCCCCGCTCCGACCCCTCGCTGCCCGCGGGCCAAAGCAGCAGGCTTGAGCGCGGGACTTCCTGGGTACGCCCCTGCTGCGCCCTGCGCTTCCTCCCCTCACACGGCGGGCAGGAAACAGGGCTCCAGGGCCAGGCTGGTCATTCCTTCCCCCACCCAGGCTGGGAGGGGCCAGCTGCGCCTTCCCACCAAGCTCAGATCAGACCCTTTCTGCTCGGAAGGAGAGTCTGGGGAACTCGCGCCCCCCAGTAATAATCCACCCTTCCATTGCTGTCTGCAGGCAGGGACAGCCCCCGTTAGCCCCTTCCCCATGTCCATTACGCACTCATGCGTTGCTGTCGCCACTAGAGACACCCACGGTATCTTCCCCACATGCACAAGCATCCATTGCTGTACATGCCTCAGGGGACACAAGCCACTGCCCCGGCATGATTATGCACTCATACCTTGCACTCTCCATCCGGGGGATGCTGACCGGCTCCCTCAGCGGGTGAAACCGTGAATTGCTGTCTGCTGGTAGGGAATGCTGGTGCCTGTTTAAATAGCATAAGTGCTCTGGTAAAGGCAACACCATCTTATGCTTCTTTTGGGGAAAGGCATTGTATAGGGCGTGGGTAGTTTTAGTTAAACCACTAGAGCAGTGGTTCCCAAACTTTAACAACCTGTGAACCCCTTTCACTAAAATGTCAAGGCACGCGAACCCCCTCCTAAAAATGACTATTTCCAGGGATTTTCTCCTTTACCTGAGTATAAATTACAAAAGCAGTGATCTTGGAAATATAAAATATGTTTTTATGACATGCTTATTACACACTATTTATTATTATTTATCATTATAGTATTTTTATTACATGATGAAAACGGCAACACTCTTCCAAGATCTCACTTTTGTAGCTTGTATCACTTTGAATAAGCCTGTTAGAAGACAAGGCTCCTATGTTTCATCAAGGAGTAACAGATGTGAAACAGCATGAAGGTATTTAAGAAGCCAACTCAGAGAGTTCCTCCTATACAAGCATTCAGGTCTTGAGCAGTCCCGGCAAACAACGCATGTTACAACAAAGCTTAAACTTGTTCTTCATAATAATTTTAAAAACAATATTAGCTGCCTATTTAATTTTAAAAACTGCAGAATATATCCACCTCCCTTGCCATTTCTTAAAATGAGTCGAAGTTTAAATCTCAGTGCGACAGATATGCTTGCTTTGATCTGCTTAGCTCTCGGAAGTCCAGGGGCTCTGGGCTGCTGGCCCTGTGCTGCACGGGGACCCTAGGGACAACTCTGTCCACCATCAGGGATTTTTTTCCCTGAGAACCCCCTGTAACATTTTGTGAACCCTCAAGGGTTCACAAACCCCAGTTTGGAAACCACTGCACTAGAGCTATAACATGAAATTTTTTCACATAAAAATAGTAGTGTGGCCAGGGCCGGCTCCAGCTTTTTTGCCCCCTCCCCCCCGTAGCAAAGACGAAGAAAAAAAAGCAGGACCTGCCACCGAAGAGGGAGAGAGGGGCCCGCTGCCGAATTGCCGCCAAAGATGTGGATGTGCCGTCCCAATCATGGACAGAATGGCACCCCTTTCTGTTGGCCGCACCTGCTTCCTTCGCTGATGCCTGAAGCTGGCCCTATGTGTGGCCTTTCTTTTCACGGCTGATGAAAGGTGTTTTTTATTTACAGCCTGAAATAAGCCATCACTCACAGCTATCCCAGCTCCTGGAATTCTCCAGACTCTAGTCTTCAGTATAAAGAGCCTGCAAAAAAAAATCTAGCTTCAGCAACATGATACTTTCTCTTCCTCATAATAAATCATAGCTAATTGTGTTTCCCTTCCTGATATAATCTATTTCCAGTTTGTGTATGTGATGTTCTGTACCTCAGGGGAACACCTTGAACCCCCATATTCAGCCTTGTAAAATGACTGTGTATCCTCATGGCTTAAAATAAGCCAAAGCAAAAACTCTCCAAGAGCAGAGAGGTAGTTCACTCCTCATCAGAGCAGATATGGGACAAACCCAGCCCCGCCTCACAGGAACAAAGGACGCTGGCCTAAGCAGCAACACAAGGATGTGTTAGACTCTAGTGAGTCACCCCCCCCTTTCTTTGGCCAGTTTGGGACTTTGATGAGGTAATGCTCACCTGACTTGGGGGGGGGGGGCAATGCCAAGAGGGAAGAAAGAACATGATAAAAGGAAGGTAAGTTTGCCAGGCTCTCTCTCTCTTCCACCTACATCTACAGCCACCACACTAAGTGACTGAAGCACTGATCAAAGGGGAGCCAGCTAGCCTGCCCGTGGTGAGAAGCATCGAAGTTTGTACGGGCATTGAAAATGTTAAGAGCAGCTTAGAATGCATTTTGCTTTTATTTCATTTGACTTACAATCACTTATTAACTATGAAAGATAGCTTTTAAGTCTGTTTATTCTACCTAAAGCAGTGTGTTTGGTTTAAAGTGCGTCACAGACCTCTCTTGGGATAACAAGCTTGGTACATATCAATTTCTTTGTTAAATTGATGAACTCACATAAGCTTGCAGCATCCAGCAGGCATAACTGGATACTGCAAGATGAAGGTTCCTAGGGTTGTGTCTAGGACTGGAGATATTGGCTAGTGTCATTCGGTTGCACAATCCAAGGAGCAGCTTACATGCCAGAGGCTGTGCATGAACAGCCCAGGAGTGGGGGTTCTCACAGCAGAGTAGGCTGGCTCCCAGAGTCAAGGATTGGAGTGACCTAGCAAATCACTGGTCCAGGTAACACCAGAGGGGAATGTCACAGTTAAAATTTGTTAAATCTTATTTAACTTCCCTATGCCCACATTTTTCAAAGTTTGTAAGAATGGGGTCCTACATCCACAACCTTTTTATTTAAGTCAGCTGTTTTGGCCCCTATCCTTCATTCCAGCACCAGACACTGCAAAATCTTACTTCAGTAGGCCACTGCAAGAGAGCAGGAGTCAGGGCTACAAGATTTTGATACAGCATATAGACTTCAGATAGCTTAAAATACTATTAGGAAAAGACCAATTTAAAAACTGGATTAAAAAGCAACTCTGTACTTTTCAACACCAACTTCAAGATGTGATAGTTTGAAAAGCTAAATTCCAACTAAGACATGTATCTGATTTTTTCAGAAATGTTGAGAACACAATAGCTCCAACTAAAGCTAGAGGAAGCCACCAGGCCGTTGCCTGATTTTTGAAAAAAGGTGAACACTTAAGTAGCTTCCAATGAACTACCGGATGCTCAACTGTTCTGAAAATTAGGCAGATGCTTAAATATGGATTTAGGAGTCTAATTTTGGACTACTCATTTAAGATCTTGGCATTGTCTATTTCCAGCCCTCCACTGGAATGAAGTATTACTTACTTTTGTAACGCCTATGTTAAAGTAGGGTCAGATAGTTTTACTATAAATTATATTTGACAGTTACTACTACTTTAAAATATGGAAAGACAAAACAAGGAGTCATACTATGTTTGACTTATTTTAACTTTTATAAATCCACTTGAACTCTTAACTGCACTCACAGAGTTCGCTTTTTAAATTTCCTTTAAATTTTAACAAGTATGATAAAGCTACAATATCAATATTTCTTTGGAAAGAGCCATTCTGGTATTTTAAGGACTGCAAGGTCTGAATACCAGAAGTACAGAAAACATTTTAAAATCCTCATTCCCATGCCATGAAATTCACATTTTGGTTCACTTAGAATTTATTTGGCAGACTATAACAGCAAGAAGATAGTATTTTGTCAAAAGCTATTTCTCCTGAAGCCACATTATTTGATAAATGATGCCTTTATTACCTCTCAGAAAGGAAGAAAGTTATGGCTATCAGGCTGCTGCAACATGCACTACACAAATGAAAAGTTATACAATATTAAGTGACATTACAAATTTAAGTATGGCAATAACATGGCTTTAATGAAGAAAAATATGGTTTATACTGAAGGAAAAGAGAAACCTATTTTGTAAGCCAGCTTGGATGACTAAAAGCATGTTCTGTACAAATCCACTGTAGAGGAATATGGTCAGCTTCTGAAACAATTCTGATGTACAACCAAAATATTTTTGCTGTATATACTTCAGGTGTTTCAAAAATTGATCTTTTAGCGATTTTAACGAAGTTTAAAGAATAAAAGATACAAGACTTGTGAAGCAGGGTACCTGTCACCCACTATTCCAGAGACTTTAATATGAAAAAATGCTCTTGTTCCTTTTCCTCTTTGCAGAATACTAAAAAATGAATACTAGTAAGAACTGAGCAATAACAATTGCTTTTCTATTCCATGAACCCAATGTTAACAATAAAATATGAGTCTATTGTCAAGGCATTTTATTTACACAACTGAAAATGGTTAGATGTTCAGAAGCGGTGTACAATGAAACAGAAAAACCGAACCAAATACTTGAGCACATAATCCCGTCTTTACAACTAAAGCCACATCTTCCAACTTTCAGAAAAAACACTGGTAAAAGCCATTACATTTTTTCTCCACAATAAAGAAAACACACTACAATAAGTTTAATTGAAATTGGAGAGACTGGATCTTGGCTTGCACACTTCATTTAAAAAGACAGTAGGCAGGTGCACTAAAATATAGCAAAACTCTGCTACTTGTCTTTTTCGATACTCAGTTCTCTTATGGATACCACCTAGCCAGTTCCAACGCATTCTCATCAATTACTGCCCATCTTTGCCTTATGTAGAGAGCGTACTCTGGAAGGCTGCTGTTGATCACCGTTTGCTTGATTTAGTCTCTATGTCCATTTGTTGCATAAGAGCTGTGATGGTCAAGCCTTAACTTCAGGAGTTGAGCTGTAGATGGAATCTGAATTTTCAGAAGTAAGGTCTTCTGTGGTTAAAATAGCAAAATTATTTTCAAACTTCACCTTAGATACAGAAAATAAAAAACCACCACCATAGCAGGACCTGAATCCATCTTTAAATTAAACTTTTCACAAATGTTTCACCATATCCCTTTAAAACAGTTTGCAAGATTACACACAGTTCTACTCGCTGGTCTATATTTTATGCAGATTAAACCCTTTGGATTAGTTCTGACACTGTTAGGTGTATCTGAAGTATATAGTTATCAATACATTACCTAGCTCCTCTTCTGCAGTTCCTGGAAGGCTGACCCTTGCTTTTGCCAGCTCTCCACCTTCCTCTTCTGTGAAAAACAAAAACATTTCTTCTAATTCTAAACCCTATTCACCTCAGACCCCGACAGAAAATCCCTATTGTTATTTTTAAGTGACAAAAAATAGTTTCTTTTAAAACTTTGTCTAGTGGTGACGGGGGCGGGAGGGTTGGCAAACAGTTCCCATTACTGGAGAGGTGTTCTGCATGTGGCTAGGCATTTTATTGTTGGTTTTAATCAAATTTATTTTTAAAATGCCCTCAATTTTATAATACCTCTCTTTGCTTCTCTACTTGCACACTTGTTTCTACTGTCTTGCCCTTGCTTAAATTACTGAAAAAAATACAGTGTTTCACATGTGTTGTTTGAGTCTTATTTTACGTTTCTATAACACAAAAGGAAAAACTCTACATGAGACTATTTTGCTTAGAATATTCCCTGAGAAAGTGTTAAAAGGTTAATTTTGTAGCTGCAAAAAGAAACAGCGAGTATTTATGTAATTAAACTGAATGGATCTAATATAGAGATTGTTAAAGGAAAGAAGTTACTCTGGCAGGTCTGAGTTTTAACCGGCAACTAGTTGTATAAGATTTTGACAAGTTACGATGCAACTGAGTTTTACCAAACACACACACAAAATTCTTACCCGGAACTACACATTTCCAAAGACCATATGTTTTCCCTACTGTCGTCTGCCACAGTCTTAACGTTCCATCCTCAGAGCCACTAGCATACAACTCTCCATCAGGGCTAAATCTCACACAGTGAATGGGACCAAAGTGTCCTTTGTAAGATTCTATAAGAAATAGTTTCGGCACAGTGTTAAATTTCACGTTAGCCAACAAATAAATAGAACTAATAAATTACTGGTGAAGAGGGGAGGGGAAGGAAGAGGGAAGTTTTTGTTTTGTTTTTTTAAATACAGCAGTTTCTCAAAAGGTTGCACGTGTATCTTCTCAGACCAAGGAGTACAAGCTACCCGGTGAACCTGAAATTTGGTGCCTATTAAAAACTGACAAGTTAATAACCAATTGCTAGCCTGTTCCAGGGAAATAACCATTTCCCCTTCTTGTATAAAGCAAGCATGCCAACAAAGATGACACTGGTATCACAAGTGCACATCAGGCTCTTACATCCATCCTCCTGACTATATCCATTATTCTAAACTACTATGGGACTTGAATTGGTAAGATTCTCTTGTGTGCTTCTAAAACAAGAATTTTGCTAAATTCATTTGGCTGGAAAAAAAACAGACAAAGAATGGGGAGAAACAAATATGTGCATTGTCCATACAAACAAATGAAATGTTTAAGTTACTTATTTTTTGTGCAACCAGTGAATGCCATACTACTTTACACCCCATATGCAATTTACACTACCATTTACAATACATCAACACTGAATGTGTCTCAGGGATTTCTATTGGAGTGGATGCCTGCTTAATCCAAGCTGCTCTGAAAGTGTTGTGTTAGGTTTGTTGGTGCAGGAGGCTGCAGGCTATATTTTTTAGACAAGTTAAAGTTAACAGCATGCCTTTAAATATGTAACAAATGTGTTCTGAAATCATAAGCATGATAAATAAACTTTCAAATTTAATCTGAGTACATCACAAGATACTGTGAAATATAATTATAATCTTTACCACCTGAAAACTGGAAAACTTACCTAGCTCTTCTCCTGTATTATAGTCATATTTATAAAGTTTAAAGTCTTCACCACCTGCAACAAGAAATTCTTTCTCAGGGTGAAGGGATGCAGAGTTGACTGTAGCAGGAGCGTCAAACGATTTAATCTGCTCCAGACTAGGGAAAAAGTTTTGTTAATACTATATATGTTTTTTAAAAAAACACACTTTAAAAACAGCACTTTAAGCCTGTCATTCTAGGAAAATGTGATGCTGTTCCTACAAATCACAGCTTTCTTAAAAATGCTGTTTCCAGTATAAATCTTAAAATGGTAAATTTACATTTCACTAAGCTAAAGACAAGCTATTACACCTTAATATTTTGTGACCAATGCCTCGCTTATTTTATGCATTGTAACAATTCTCTTGCATGTGCTTCTTGTGTTGTACTTAAAAGTAAAAATCTGAGGCTGTAGTGGACATATTAAACCAAAATTAGATTTATTGTATAAATTAGACGTGGAAAAATATTTGCTGCCTGATGATACAGGCATAGCCAAACAGTCGTCATATTCTTGTCTGCCCTTGTTCTTTCCTTAATCTCTTCTTTTTCCTTGTCTTCAAATTGTTGTGTCTAATTTTATACTGTAAACTCTTGGACTCAGGTACCTTGTTACCTATTCACTAGTACAAGAGAGTCTTAACAGTGAGCTAATGAGTAATTTGTTGGAAAGTTGTCCTTTAACAAAAAGGCTTTTTAAACTGTAAGCTCTGCAGGGAGTTTGTCCACAACTGGGCCCTGATCCTGATTGAAGTATTATATAGAGACGCCAATACAAATACTAATTCTCAACAAGAACATATAATATAAGTACTATACCCATGTATAGCTATGGCAAATTTATATGTCTATTAGTTTAGATGTGTGTGCTAGTAAGTATGATTCTAGGGCTGATTGAGTAGTTCAGTCCCCAACCTCAGTCAGACCTTTGCCTCTCCACCATTCCGAACAAAGATGCTAATCACTACAAACTGAGGTGGTTTAGTGATACGTCCTTTGTGCAATAAGAACTGGATAGAGACCTGCAAACAACTGTTAGCTGCTAATGATTTTCAAGTACTATTTCAGCTAGATTTTTTGAAGTTAAACTAAAGATGAGGGTCTATGCTCCTTTATTTTGGGGAAAACAAGGGCAGAAGAAAGGAATAGAAGGGAAAATGTTGGTTTCATTAGCGTGGCAGATCAAGATCCTTTTCCCACAACCATACTGGCTCAGTGTCACCTGTCACCTCTCCCATACGCCCTCTAGTCCTCTTTATACTTCTGAAGATTTCAAGTTTGAAACTTACGTCTCTGCACTATGAAAAGCAATAGTCCTCCCATAGGTTATCACCAGTATCTCCCCCTCAGGAACATACTCCATGCTGCTCACAGACATTGCAACATTTATTGCTTTTACTTCAGTCATGGTATTCCGGTCCCAGAGGCTGTTGAAAAAAGAGACACTTAAAATTACTTGAGTAAACCAAATTACTTTCATTCACATCAATGCTAGGCTTTGGTTTACAAATGCTACCTAAACAAAAACTCCAAAGTTGGTTCTAGTCATTCTAGATTGTTAATGGTATGCTTGTCTTAATCACTGGCCACAACATGCTCTTAAAGTACAGCTACCTCTGGAGCAGAATGCAGCAATGGTTCTGCCACAGCAACACTAAGTGATACTTACACTGTTAAACTGGTCTGGTGTTTCAGTCAGTCACCCAGGGATGATGAGCTCTGTACACAACCACCAGTGCCCTGAGCAATCCAGCTTCCTAGTGACAACACTTATGATCAAGACGTCAAAACCCCACTGGTAAGCAGGAAGCTTTTTCTGGTGAGGGTGCAGGGGGGACCAATGCTAATACATATACAGTATCTCAGGTTCCACTTACAGCAAAATGTAGCTGTACTAACAGTCTAAATATAAAACACCATATGCAATTCTGTCTTCCTATGACTGCAAACGGTCAGCTCTAGGGCCTCAGCTAAGCTTTGGCAGAGTGAAAACTAATCAGGATATTTCCAGTTTTAATTACTATTATTTCAAGCCCTGTGAACAACTGTGAACCCATCAGGTGCTGATGGAGCTAAAATGGAGACTGAGGAGAAGGGACTGAATGGCAGAGTTGACCCCACCCCATGCCACAGACCTCTCTACTAATCTGCACTCAACATGACATCAGACAGAAGTCTAGGGAATGGGGAGAGGAGATAACACCCTGGTCACACCAGCAGACATAGTATAGATTCCTCCACGCTTGCTCAGGAGGTTCTAGGCTATGGGGAAAAAAAACAAAAAGAATGCTCTTCCTTCCAGTCAGAGGGGCTGTGGGGACTTCAAGTTTATCAGACACCTACCAGTCAGACTTGAGCCAAAGATGCAGTGATTGGAGTAGAATCCCAGCGCCCTCCCCTTTCTCAGTAGTGTGGCAGAGTGGGGAAGAGGACTGAGCTTGTCACCAGAGCACTGCCTCCAGACAGCAGAACTCTTCCCCATCTTTTATATCAGCCTCTGACTAGTGAATGCCTCGTACATTTTTCAAGCTTGACTATGATGGACATGTTACATTTGTTTGCCACTATCTCTTCACAGGCAATAAGAGTTCCCTCCCAATGCCTCAGTGACAGGACTCATCCCAGTTATGAATTCATCCTCTCTGGGGTTTTTGTCATGAAAAAAACAGATGGCAGTGACTTAGCAATATGAAATCAATCAGCTGGTATATTGGGGTTTAGTGACAGAAAGTATATTTGATAAGATCACATGATTAACAATTCTTATCTCAGATATATACCCTTAGAAATTACATTAAGAAAGATGGGGTGGTCTTATATTGACCTGGTATATAATAATTAGGAATCTCACATACCACAAATCAGACACTGACTATTGAAGTGTATATACTTAAATTACAGAAATAAATGAATCCGAGTTCTAAATATAACTATGTTTTTGATATTATAAACCCAAAAGCCAACTGTACCCAAATACAATTATATGGAGAGAGTCCTTTTTTTAAAAAAAAAAAAAAAGTTAAGTTAGTGTTTCTTACCGGACAGTTTTATCATCAGCTGAAAGGATCTGTTTGTCATCACTGCTCCATAAAGCCTTTTTAATACCTGAAGTATGTCCACTGACCACCTGAGGTTCTTAAGATTAAAGCAAACATCTTAGAAGATGAAATAACAGGGAGATTAAAAAAATCTTACCACTTAAATCAAACAACAAACCATTTCACCTGGTTTATAAGTCACTATAAATAATCACCAGTTGCCATAAATCAGTAAATGGCATCAGGATGACAATGCTGTCAAGTTGCTTGAGTTGTATTTTAATTTTTTACCTGAAGTAATTCCAGAAGTGAATGACACAGGCCAAATTGATACCTGCTTCTTAGTGCTTGTCTACACGAAAAAGTTGCACCAATTTAACTTCATGTATGAATTTAAACCTACTTTGTTAAATTAATGCAAACTCTCTTACTTCAGTTGAGTCTCAGTTGAGACCAAGTAAATAAGGAATAGGTATAAGCTAAACTGAAATGAGCCACTCAAACCAAAATGAGAGTCCACACAGGATTTTGTACAGGTTCAAACTAATCCTGTTTAAAAATCCATTTAAATTAAACCAGTGCAACTTTATTGTTTAGACAAGCCCCCAATCTAGAAATACTGTGAACATTACAAAAGTAGCTGGTGTTAAACAAGTTTACATGTCCCTGCAGGTAAATGCAAGATGCAAGCACACAGAGCCCAGCAAACACACAGAGGCAAGTACCTTGTGTGCATGAACCCATGCTTCATACTGATGAGATATATCAAACAGTTTAAATTATTGCACATTTTTAAATGCTTTAGCTCACTTTAAAAACAGAAAACTTCAAATCAAGCTAGTGTTGACAGTAAAATAAATAAGATGTAATGCAACCTGAAAGATGCTTTTTGTGATTTTCAGCACATCGTACAACAGTAATTTATATCTCAAATCCTATCAACACCAACCATTAAGAACTCTAAGTATAATTCATGAAACAGAACAGATTTGAATATTTTCAAAGGAACAGTCAACTGAATTGTGTGCAACTCTACAAAATGAATGCGTAAGTAGGATAAGAAAAGCAAACTAACCTGCTTCTGGCTTGCTCAAGTCATAAATACGCAACAATTTATCTTGTCCACCTGTCAACAGGTAATTGCTGTCCTGAAATAGTTAGAAATCATGGCGAGTCACTCTTTTATTAAAACTAAAATATTACTTTTATAATGAATATTACAATAGCACTTTTCTAGTAACCCGCTAAAAGACCTATTACATTTACATTCATCCCTTAGAAATGAAAAGTTGACCTGAACATCTCCCTAACAAAGCATAAAGCACATGAAAACAAGGGCAGCAGTTACATCCAATTGTTTGACTCCCTGACAAATAAGACAAAGATTTTTCATACCTCAGTAAAATCCACACTTTTGACAATATGCTTATGGGCCAGTGTGATCAGTTCATCCCCTGAAACAGCATCCCATACTTTGCTGAAAGACAAGAAAGTACAAGTGTGGTTTCATTAGCCACTACTGACTTTATTACAAGCTAATTTGGCTGTTCCGGTTACAGGGACATTTCCCTGATAACTAGCATTATTTCTAACACAACAGATCCTTTTAATTACTATGTTCTGATAATTACTGCACAATAGGGATCACCATTCTGGATAAAGGTGAGTCTCTCAAACAGTTAAAACCCAAAACTGGAAATGATTAGTTTGTGAGAATACTTTTTTTCCCCCCTAAAAGCCATTTCCTTAATTCTTTTTTGTACTACCAGCCCATTGCTCCTACCTCTCTTCTCTCTCGAACAGTTCAGGATTAACAGCACTTGTAGCTTTAGAGGCACCTTGGTACAGTATTCCTACTTAGATCTACATAGACTAAGAGCTCATGTGTGGAATTCAGATTTTCACAAAGACTTGCGTACATACTTAACTTTCCACACTGCGAGTATCCCCAGTGACATCAAGGTGATCGCTCACAGTGCTTGTGCTTAAGCCTTTGTAAGACTGAGGCTCAATAGTATCTAATATTCATCAATTTCACTTAACAGGAGGTACTTTGAGTTACGTGCTTCTATACAGAATCTTGGTGGGAAAGTTGTATGGATTACTACCTGACCCATGAGCAATGGAAAAACGGAGTGTTAAAAAGTAGGGAATTAGCAGTGGTGGAACAAAATCATTAACTCTGGTATCCCACATAATTGCAACATAACTAAGGATTATGAAGGATATCTGAATTGTCTGTGTAGGCCACTATGCTATTTATCAGTCTGTTCATCCATAAAATAGGGGTTATCCAACTTGACAGTATTAACTGCCATTCCGCTCCTTGGATCGTTACCCTGTTGTGGTGGAGAGGCTTGTGTGTCCCAATGACCCTCAGAACTATGTCATCCGAAGTTGTGTACTCCCGGTAGGGCCACCCTTGGCGAACAGTTCTGAGGGGAGGTTCCAGACAAAGCATGCAGAACAGCTGTATTTCAAGGACCTGTCAGTTCTCTGCAGCTGTGAAGGTGGGTGAGGGCTGCAGCAGGACCGAGACCTTTGGTTGTCTTGAACTTCCCTGCCCCTGGCTCCAGGGCTCCTTCCTGTAAAGTTTTGTGAGGTTCAATAAGGATAAGTGCAGGGTCCTGCACTTAGGACGGAAGAACCCAATGCACAGCTACAGACTAGGGACCGAATGGCTAGGCAGCAGTTCTGCGGAAAAGGACCTAGGGGTGACAGTGGACGAGAAGCTGGATATGAGTCAGCAGTGTGCCCTTGTTGCCAAGAAGGCCAATGGCATTTTGGGATGTATAAGTAGGGGCATAGCGAGCAGATCGAGGGACGTGATCGTTCCCCTCTATTCGACATTAGTGAGGCCTCATCTGGAGTACTGTGTCCAGTTTTGGGCCCCACACTTCAAGAAGGATGTGGATAAATTGGAGAGAGTCCAGCGAAGGGCAACAAAAATGATTAGGGGTCTGGAACACATGAGTTATGAGGAGAGGCTGAGGGAGCTGGGATTGTTTAGCCTGCAGAAGAGAAGAATGAGGGGGGATTTGATAGCTGCTTTCAACTACCTGAAAGGGGGTTCCAAAGAGGATGGCTCTAGACTGTTCTCAATGGTATCAGATGACGGAACGAGGAGTAATGGTCTCAAGCTGCAGTGGGGGAGGTTTAGATTGGATATTAGGAAAAACTTTTTCACTAAGAGGGTGGTGAAACACTGGAATGCGTTACCTAGGGAGGTGGTAGAATCTCCTTCCTTAGAGGTTTTTAAGGTAAGGCTTGACAAAGCCCTGGCTGGGATGATTTAACTGGGAATTGGTCCTGCTTCAAGCAGGGGGTTGGACTAGATGACCTTCTGGGGTCCCTTCCAACCCTTAGATTCTATGATTCTATGCCACCTGTGCACTGGCTCACCCACGTTAAAAGATTTCACACACCTCTGCCCTGCCCAGGTTGTTAACATCTCCCACTAACAAAGTCCTACAACGCTAAATGGATGAGTCGTGGTGGAGACGAGCAGTGATCTCTGGGAGTTCCTAGTCACAAATCTGCATGCAAGCGGCAGCCGTGTGTTGGTCGTCTTGCGCTTGGACTTGTGAGACAGAAGCACAATTAGACAGCTGCGGCCACTACTGAGCAGTCCTTTTCAGGATTCCTTCTGCTCACCACAAATGGGGAATGGACTAGGAAAGGTGCCCTAAACATAGGCTCTCCCAACCCCTTCCCCCGGCTGGATCACTCTACCTACAGTCAGAACATATGATGCAAAGTAACGAAGTTCGCCCTTGGAATGTTTGCACCCTCTCATGGATTCCCCGAACAGTGACTGTCCTGAAAGAAGTGCCATAACAGCTAGAGAATTTGCAAAATATGACATTGAAATTACTGCCCTAAATGAGAGCTGTCTGGCCAATGAAGGCCAACTGAAAGAAGATGGAGTTGGCTATACCTTTTTTTGGAAAGGAAACTCAGCTGAAGAGGTGCGTATTCATGGGGTTAGTTTTACCACCAAAAACAAGATTGCTAGTCATTTTTTTTTTTAAACCTCTATGAGTATTAACGAATGTCTGAAGACTCTTCATTTTAAGCTTAGTAACAACTAGTATGCCATGGTCATCAGTGCATATGCTCCCACACTTGATGAAGTCAACAAGTAGAAGTTTTACTGTGCTCTTGATGCAGTCCTGACTGACACAGCCAAGGAAGACAAGCTCATCCTCAGGGATGACTTCAATGCAAGAGTTGGGTGACATTCCGAACTCTGGAGAATCACCACTGGGAAAGAAGGGGGTGGGGAAAATCTACTCTAATGGCATTCTCCTCCTCAGCAAATATGTGAAGCATGATTTGCTTATCACAAATACCATCTTTAGACAGAGGCACAAATATAAGACCACTTGTAAACACCCACATTTCAGGCACTGGCATCTTTTTTACTATGTCATCATCAGGTCCTGTGATCATACTGATGTCTATATTACACGAGCCGTGAGGTATGGATGACTGCTGGACAGATCAATTATGAACATGCGGCTTACACCACAATGCTGAAAACAACCAAAAGGAATGCAGAAGAGATTTAGCATCAAAATCACACTAGTTGTAAGACTCGTCAGCAATGCCTCATGAGAAACTCTCTAACCTACCTGACATCAATGATACCCAAACACACTGGGAGGAGTTCAAGACCATTATTCACAACGTGCTGAACAGATTGCATATGCCACTCACCGCCATCAGAATTAGTTTAATAAGAACAAGGAAATCTTAGCACTTATTTATCAGAAGAAAAGTGTAGAGACCACCATTTTGCACTTGGCAAAAAGAACCTGCAAAAATGAGAAACTTAATATAGGCTTAAAACTGCAGTTCAAAGGAGGCTGCGACACATCAAGAATCAGTGAAAACAGGCAAATGCCAGGGAGATCCAGAGTTTTGCTGATCAACATGATATGAGCAACTTTTTTCAAGCAAATCTCAGAACAGCTCCACCCTCCTTAAGGACAATGTTGGAAGGAGCATTTCGAAACTCTATTGAACTGTAAATCTGAAGTCTCAGCTGCCACCATCAAGTCCATTTCTCAGTATTCAGTAACAGAAATGCTTGCAGACACCCCCTCCCCATCTTCTGAGGAAGTCTGGCATGCCGTTACTCGGACTAGACACAACAAGGTGCCAGGCCCAGACAGCGTCCCTGTGAAAGTCTTCAAAATTGATGGAATAGCACTCAAGTGAAAACTTCATCTACTTCGTGTTAGAATTTGAGTTAATGAGGAAAATTCCACCCCACCTAAAGAATGCTACTATTGTGACCATTTTTAAGAAAGGGGACAAGTCAATGTGAAGGAATTACCGAGGCACTGACCTCTTCTCCATTGCCGGGAAGACCCTTGCTTGCATCCTTTTGAATCATTTCCTCCCTCTTACCAAAGACGTCCTTTTGGAATCCCAATGTAGTTTCAGACTGTCTCAGGGCACCACCAACATGATTTTTGTAGCACAACAGTTCCAAAAAAAGCGTAGAGAAAGCCACCAGCCATCGTTTATGGCATTTACTGACCTAACTAAGGCCTCTGATTCCATCAATCTTGGAGCATTATGGAAGGTGCTATCTAGGTTCAGTTGTCCATTGAAGTTCATTCACATTCTCAGGCTACTTCATAATGGTATGACCGCCACCGTCCTCTCTATTGGGCTGGAGACAGACCCATTCATAATCTATACTGGTGTTAAGAAGGGCTTTGTTACTGCCCCAAACCCTTTTTTCATCTATCTTGCCATGATCTTTATTCTTCTTTATGACTGCCTTTTTCTGGAACTGGAATTATTGCATTGCATAGACGGCCAGCTCTTCAACTTGCGGCATCTTCATTCTAAAACTAAGGTCAGCAGGACCATTACTACTGATCTTCAGTATGCTGATGACAATGCTATCCTCATGCACACCAAGGCTAACTTGTAATCCACTCTAAACTTTTTCTTGGGCACCTGTGACTTTTCCTCCATATTGAGAAAACTAAGGTAGCTCCACCAACCTGCCCCAGCACAAGTTGCCCCCTTCTCCCACAAATTGTCATTGGTGGTGAACTCCTGGAACATGGTGACTATTTCCCTTACCTTGGTAGCCACCTCTCCCAGACAGCTAATCTCAATGTGGAGTTTGAACAGAGGATCTGTTGTGCCATGGCATCCTTTGGAAAGTTGCTTCATCGTGTCTTTATTGGCAGAGATCTGCAGATGAAAACTAAGATCCTGGTCTACAAGGCAGTAGTCATCCCCACTCTTGTTTGTGTGTGAGAGACATGGATGACATACCAAAGCCACTTGGAATGATACCACCAGCACTGAGTTAGGAAGATTCTCCATATCAGATGGGAAGATCATTGTACCAAATGCCAGCGTTCTCTCTGCAGCTAACACCACCAGTGCTGAGTCGAAGATTATGAAAAATCAACTTCACTGGGCTGGCCATTGTGTGCGGATGGCTGATACTTGTCTTCTGAAGCAAGTCTTCTTTTCTCAACTTAGTCATGGTAACAGAACTTGCAGCGAGACAGAGGAAATGCCACAATGACACCCTGAAAGCATATCTTCAGTCATTGAGCCCATGAATTGGGTAGAGATGGCTGGCAATAGACCGCAATGGTGTTGCATTATACATCAAGCCTCAGCCTGTTCTGAGCAAGGCAATTCTCTTCAAGAGGCTGAGGAACAGCAGAGGAGGAAGGAAAGCGTGTACAGCACCCCAGCCAGCAGCTGTGCTCTCTCCAAGCAACCACCTGTCATATATGTGGAAAAACCTGTTGAGCATGGATTGGACTCCTCAGCCATCTTAAGTCTCATCAATGACTCCTCCTCCTTCCCCTCCAGAAGACATCATCCTCATATCAAGGGACAGCTGATGACGACGATTAACTGCCATTACTGTTCTTCCATAAAATACCAAAAACCTAAGTTTCTAAACTTTTAAGGTAACCAGCTGTAACTAATGGTTTATTAAAGGGCAAACACATAAAACAGTAATTCCTTTAACACCACAATTAAGAAAAATATAGTATCACAAGATGAAATCACAACACAGTGAAATTTCAGTATTAACCAGTACTTACGCTGTAAAATCTGCAGCTGCTGTCGCTGCTTTAGTGGCATCCCTATTCAGGGTGGCACCCCAGACGGCACCTTTATGACCTAGAAATGTTCCAATCCAGTCCCCCGTGTCACCTTGGCGTAGCATAGGTTTACCATCTAGGCAAAAAACAAAGATTAATTTTCAAGCAAAACAGTTTTATTTTACTTAACAGTAATCATAGTTCTAATGAAACAGTTCAATTTACACTACTGTGGAACAAAAAAGAAAACACCAGAGCTCTTTGGCAATGGAATGTGACATACCTTTGAAACGATATATTTTGTTATCAATTTAATTAGAGTTGGATCTTTAATTTTGTATCTGTACATATAGGGACTAACTCTTGCTATGTGTATCTAACAAAATGGTGCCACAATTTTGGCTGCGGCCTTTAGACACTACTGCAATACAAATAATATGTTTGTTCTATGTTCTGGTTCTTTTACTAATTAGTATTTTTTGTCACCGTGTTAACAGTGCTGTACTTGTTTTAGTTTTAACATATTAGCACCTGCTTTTGATGCCAACACTGCTTACAAAAAGTTTCATTTTAAAATTGTCTGATATATACATTACTTTTCAGATACATAGAGCAGTTGTAAAAATAAAACAGAATTAAGAAGTGGCATTGTAGACAGACAAATACAACCCAGACTCAGTAAAAGGTCCAAGAGGGCCTTTCAAAGAAGGGGATATGTAGAGGAATAAAATGTGTGTGTATGTATTTGGTGGGAGGGTGGCATCTTCTTGAGGTTTGGAAGAAAGCCCTGCTAGAAAGGCATATGAGCATGAAGAAAAGTCAATTCAGTGCTGCTAATGTACTATAATACTAGTGCAATTATGAGCCAGTTAATTTATTTGAAAAACATCTCACTGTATGATGAGCTACCACCTAGAACAGGGGTGGGCAAATGTTTTCGCCCGAGGGCCACATCGGGGTTGCGAAAACGGTATGGAGGGCTGGGTAGAGAAGGCCATGCCTCCGCAAACAGCCTGGTCCCCACCCCCTACCCACCCACCTCAGAACCCCTGACCCATCCAACCCCCCCTGCTCATTGTCCCCTGACCGCCCCCTCCTGGGACCCCCCCACTCCTAACAGTCCCCCCAGGACCCCACCCCCGCTCCCTGTCCCGACTGCCCCGACCCCTCTCCACACCCTGCCCCTGACAAGCTCCCCCAACCCATCCACCCCACCACCACCACTTCTTGTCCCGACGGCCCCCTCCTGAGACCCCCATCCCTAACTGCCCCCCCGGACCCCACCCCCTATCCAACCCCACCTGCTCCCTGTTGTCCCCCCCACCCCAGGACCCGACCTCCTATCCAACCCCCCCCGCTCCCTGTCATCCCCCCACCCCAGGACCCCACCCCCATCCAACCCCCCTGCTCCCTGTCGTCCCCCCCACCCCAGGGCCCCACCTCCTATCCAACCCCCCCTGCTCCCTGTCTCCTGCCTGCCCTCCTCCACCCCATTCAACCACATCCTGTCCACCCCCCGGGATCTCCTGCCCCTTATCCAACCCCCTTCTCCCTTACCTTGCCACTCAGAGCAGCAGGACAGGCTTAATGGAAAGCCTGGGAGGTGGGCAGGTGCAAGCCACTGCCTGTGGCGGTGCAAGTAGGTGGGACAGCAGGGGAGGGGCCGGGGCTAGCCTCCCCAGCCAAGAGCTCGGGGCCAGGCAGGACAGTCCCACAGGTCATAGTTTGCCCACCTCTGACCTAGAAAGTGCAGAGGTTGAAGGGGGCTAGGCTCACAGCAACTTGTAGAACTGCCATTTTCACCTGGTGGTGATGCCTAATTTCAGAATTTAAAAAAATGCACTAGCAAAATTTTTAATTCTCTACCCCTTTAAGAGTATGACGAGAACTGTTCAGATGCGAGCTGAACATAACTCAGCTAGGTAATGGAGTAACGAGCATGCAGACAGTCTGAAATAAGTGCGAACTTACTATTCTTTTCAGTTTGTTAACACCCTAAGGGTGTTTCCACAAATATCAGCGCTGTCAGGTATTTCACTGGTGACCAAAGCATGCAAGCAATAAGGGTTACAGCTACATAAGGAACAGCGGTGCAATCTGAGATGTCAGACTGAGATCATGCTTATTGAGGGCGGAATGTGACACAATCCCACCCATTACCTTCCCCCCAGACCGACCCCTGGGGCTGCCTCTATCCGCCAGGTGGGGAACTCAGCCTGGGTACAGGACAAGGCATCAGCAGGCTTGTGTCTCCCACGCTAAGGTTAGGACGTAAGGTGTGTTTGGGTAACCGCCTGCCCGTGTCCACAGCGCAACTAGAGCCACGAGGGGGAGACGAGTCTCATCCTCCAGCTTCGGGGCTCGGGCACCGCGAGGGCGGCCGCGCACCGACCTGGGAGTAGAGCAGAGAAAACCGGCATCTCCTCCTCGCGACTCTCCCAGCGCTGGTAGGTTTGGGAGCGGAGCGCTGCCGAGCCACGCCAGGAGAGGGATCCCCCCGCCCCCACCTCATCCACGGCAGGAGAGCGCTAGGACCCCCCCTCGCCCCGAGCTCACCCTTGCAGGCGCTGATGAGAAAGTAGCCGTAGGGGGTGATGTCGCTGAAGGCCAAGTCCACCACGGGCCGCGTGTGCCCGGAGCACGTCAGCGGGGTCTGTCTCATCGCCATGGCGATGGTGGCGGCTCCGGGGAGGCGGAGGGCGGGAGAAAAACGCGGCGCGCGTGGCGACAGGCGGGGAAGGGGAGAGGGAGGCGCGCGCGACGAGCGCACACACACGGGACAGCACAGGACGGGAACACGAGCTAGGCCGCGCTGGGCTGGGCAGGAACCGGAAGCGGCAGCCCAGGAAGTGACGACGAGCCGGGGCCGTCGGGGCCGCCGGAAGTTACGTTGACAGAGGAGGCGGCGGGAGAGAATGGAGCTCAGTGTTTGTTTGCCTCCGTGCGGAAGTTACGCGCGTCCTCGCTCTTGTGAAGCGGCAGTTCCTTCAGTTCCTCCCTGCCAACCGCGGGGCGGGGTCCGAGGAGCCGTAGGCGTCAGGGGCCATTGTCTCGCGGGGGCGGGGCTGTGAGGTCACGCGGCTGGGGGCGGGGACGACGAGCGGGGATCCCGGCCTCTGTCCCGCTCCCACAGGGGGAGGGGGGTCCCTGGCCGCAGCTGCAGATTCATCCTCTGCGCGCGCCGCCGGCTCCCTGGCGGTTCTGAACCGTCGTTGCCCCTTCCCGGCGCAGGCGCACGGAGGCGCTGGGACGTTTCGCTGAGTTCAGGGGTGGAGGCTTCTCGGGGTTACCGTAATACACGGAGTAGAGGACAAACGGGTTTGTCCAGAGCGGGTTGCCCCGCGGCATTGAGCTGGGCCTGCTGCCCTGGGCACCCCCCACCCCGCGGCCTGGGGGCGTTCAGCGCTCGCTGAGCTGTGTGGGGGCGCGGGGTTGTAAATCCAGCGCTGGGGCGGGGGTCCGCGCTCAGCTGGCTGGAGGCGCGGCAAGGGCGCCCCTGGTATAGCGCGCTCGCTCTCGCGCCCCCTGAGCGCGGGTCCGGCTACCCCGGTAGGGGGAGGCTCGCTCCCAACTGCAGTGTAGACGCAGCCTCTTCTGTCCCCTCGCTCTTTGACCCAGGCCTCTAGTTTAATATAGGTTTCGGAGTAGCAGCCGTGTTAGTCTGTGTTGGCAAAAAGAAAAGGAGGACTTGTGGCACCTTACACCCGGGACTGTTTTCACTGAGATTGCAAATGTCTCAATAAAAGCTGAGGCAGGGCGGAAATGAATCCCCCACCTAAGTGGGTCTTGAGTCTGACTGTGACTCTCTGAGGAAGATTGCAGTGTCCTCCTATCCCATTGTTAGGCTCCTGAGCAGTGATTCTCAATCCAGGGGCTGCTTGTGTCCTAGTCAGCAAATAGCAGCAGTCCATGTGATGTCCTCAGAGCCATACATGTAACAGAGTGAGTGGCTGTGTCCCCCGTTGCACATAGAGAGCTGGATCTGGAGTCCACTAAGGTAAATAGGTTGAGAACCACTGATCTAGAGAGACAACTCAGTGAGAGGGAAGTGAGATATTTCACTGGCATAACACTCCGTTTATACAATTTTATTAAATAAAGTGACAAGATTTTTAAAATCCAATATCCCAAACACTTTCTGTAATCCTGTCACAGGGAGTACAGGAAAGGTGTTGAAAGGAAGGGCTATATGTTTGGTGCTTTTCTTGGGAAGAGTTTTGGGAATTGGAGAATATTTATTGCTTGCTTTCTGTCTTAATGGGACTCTAAACCTTCTCCTATCCAGCACTATCATTTGCTCCCTCCTTTTCTCTCTCCCACACACCCCTTAAAAATTAAGGTAGGCTAATATACTGTGTTGGATCTCAGAACAGCACTTCCCCCCTGAAATATACATTCATGGGAATGTGAGAGGGACTTAAGATGGAAACTAATTAGAAAGAGGAAGTCATATCTAACTGATTATATTTAAAACAGGACAAAACATCTTTTGCTCTGATGAGTGAAATGTGCTGGCACCTGTACTCTTCATGGGATTAAATTCAGTATTAAAAATTAAGGCTTCCATGTTCTACGTGTTGTGGGCTGCCTAAGGTCTGTGGGCTACACTTTGACTATCCCAATTTAATTTAAATATATTCAGTTATTTTGTTTAGGTATAAAAATGCTTACACATCACTCAGGCCTCTTTAGCAGCTTAATCATTACTTGTTAAGATAGACAGTTCCCAGACTTGACAAAATAAGTTAAATTAACAGCCAGGTTTTTAATTTAGTTTTAAAAGCACTTTTGTAACTGTCACAAAAGATTGATATGAACTGAGGGGGAAAATCCAAGGTCAGCAAAGCTGAAACTTTAAAGAAACTTGGAACACTTAAAGCTCAAGCACCAATGACATTACAGACAAGCTGTGCTCAGGAACGTACGTCTTTAATGGTCGTACAGCTTTGATTAATTTTCTTTAATCTTGGACTGCATTTTACCCTCTGCACAAAGCAGCAATATGATCTCTAGTTGCGGAGATATAAAACTGTTAAGACAGAGAAAGGCATAAATATCTCAAACATGATTAAATGCAAATGAAAACTATTGAGATGTCAAGCCTATTACATTCAGACTATATTAAAATCTCACCAGGCCAGACAAAACCCTGTAGCTGCTTGTCTCAAAAAACAGAAAATAGAGCCATAAAAAAAAAAAACACCTCAGCTGATGGTGCATAATTTTATATAGATCCTATCATTAATTCTGTAAGTCAGGGGTTTCCATATGCTGCAGAAACATGAAAATATTAAAGAACATGATGGCTGTTGCTAAGAGCCTGCTCTCCAAGCACTTATACCAAGAGCTTCAGATAAACCAAATAGTTACAAACAACTGCATATATGGATTCAAGCTACATGGTTCCTAAATTACTGCGAGGATTACTTTAATGAGGCCTAGATAGAATAGTTAGGATATGGAAAACTAGCTTCCAAAAACTGGCTGACTTTTGTCTATCCCACGAAGTTGTTTATATTTATGGCCACTGAAACTTCTACAGTGGTACTACAGCTTATGTTGATATAATACTGTTCACCCAAGCAGATTTTGAAGTGTTTCATATGACTGAGAAATAGATAGTAATATACAAACCATACATGGAAAGAACTTTATACACCCCTGAAACCAGCTACATCAGGGTGAAATGCAGCAGCTGTTTAACAGCATAGCTACACTGCTGGCTGCTTAGAACAGCAAGTGAGCAATACTGTATTAAAATACAGGGGGATATTAGGCAGACATAAAATTATCCTAGGTTGGGACACCACATTTAACACTGAAAGAATTCTTACAGAAATCACCACAAGATCTTTAATGTCCACACAGCTAGCCAGGCCCTCAGTTTGAGGGTATGTCTACTACAAGTACTACAGCAATGAAAGGTATTTTTCCATTGCTATAGTAAATCAACCCTCTCAAAAGGCAATAGCTAGGTTGATGGATGAATTTTTCCTTTGACCTGACAGTATCTACTCTGGGCCTTAGGTTGGCTTAACTGCATTTCAGGGGTGCTTGAATTTTTCACATCCCTGAGCAACATAGCTAGCTTGATCTAAATTTTATGTGTAGATAAGACCTTATATCTCACCTGATCTATGGCAGCCCCAGCAGTACAGTGCCTTTTCATGTAGCATTGATTTAGTACTGATGTAAAGAGAAGTGTCCTATCTGTTTAGGCTCTGATTCAGGAAAGCACCTCTAACATCTTCAGGAAAACATTCAAAACACGTACTTTGAGCACATGCCTAAATAATACTGAGACAAATGGGATTTAACCATGTGATAACTGATTTCCTGAATTGGCACCTTAATGACTAAAACCACTTCCTGGGTTTCCCTGGGACTTGAAGGACTCCCATCAAAATACTGCCTGGCCTAACTTAAGCTAGTCACAGAAAAAAATGGAGGCAGCATGGGGAAGGTTAGAAAAAGTAGGGTAAGTAAGGTTACTTATGCAGACTGTGAATCTAAGCATAGCATATCAGATAAAACTGGATAATTAAAAAAATTAGGGGCTCTCATCTCAAATGCTGATGATTGAATAAATCAGAAACTCAATGGTAGCATAGCCTTATAATTCATAGTTAACTTTTCATTATTCTTCCAGTTATTATCAAAGTAATTTCTTGTTTTGACTGATACAGGCAGCCCTTCACCAACCACTCATGTCAGGAAACTTTCATCATCTTGTAGTATCTGGACCCATATGACCACCAGGATGCATATCACAGTTTACAAAGTACATGGTAGGGCTCTTGTGGGAGACTGAAAATTCAGATCTGCCTCCTTTATTAAATGGTATCTTTATACAGTCAGTGATTAAATTTTCTCAAAAATAGCTGAAAAGTGATCAGTGTTAGCAAAATGAAGGGTTGAAGTTATGTTATTTTTAATTTAAAAAAATTGGAATCCTGAAGTTTTGATAAAAATTAAACAATGACTCAATTTAGGCATAGGGCAGTGTAATATATAAGTGTTCAGTCCCTGAAGGTCCCTTTCATATGTTGTCTCAGGTACAATTTTCAATAAAAGAAAAGGAGTACTTTTTATACACACAAAGCATGAAAAAATACCTCCTCCCACCCCACTCTCCTGCTGGTAATAGCTTATCTATGGCCCAACTTGATTATCATACACATTGTAAGGAGAGTGATCACTTTAGATAAGCTATTACAAGCAGGAGAGTGGGGTGGGAGGAGGTATTTTTTCATGCTTTGTGTGTATAAAAAGATCTTCTACACTTTCCATAGTATGCATCCGATGAAGTGAGCTGTAGCTCACAAAAGCTTATGCTCAAGTAAATTGGTTAGTCTCTAAGGTGCCACAAGTACTCCTTTTCTTTTTGCAAATACAGACTAACACGGCTGTTACTCTTTTCAGATGCACCTGCACATCCACCAATGTGATATATGCCATCATGTGCCAGCAGTGCCCCTCTGCCATTTACATTGGTCAAACTGGACAGTCTCTACATAAAAGAATAAATGGACACAAACCAGATGTCAAGAATTATAACATTCATAAACCAGTCGGAGAACACTTCAATCTCTCTGGTCACGCAATCACAGACATGAAGGTCGCTATCTTAAAACAAAAAAACTTCAAATCCAGACTCCAGCGAGAAACTGCTGAATTGGAATTCATTTGCAAATTGGATACTATTAATTTAGGCTTAAATAGAGACTGGGAGTGGCTAAGTCATTATGCAAGGTAGCCTATTTCCCCTTGTTTTTTCCTACCCCCCCCCCCCCGCCCCCAGACGTTCTGGTTAAACTTGGATTTAAACTTGGAGAGTGGTCAGTTTGGATGAGCTATTGCCAGCAGGAGAGTGAGTTTGTGTGTCTGTGTGTGTCCCCAGAAAAAAAAAAGGGGGGGGGTGAGAAAGCCTGGATTTGTGCTGGACATGGCCCACCTTGATTACCATGCACATTGTAGGGAGAGTGGTCACTTTGGATGAGCTATTACCAGCAGGAGAGTGAGTTTGTGTGTGTATGGGGTGGGGGGGTGAGAAAACCTGGATTTGTGCTGGAAATGGCCCACCTTGATTATCATGCACATTGTAGGGAGAGTGGTCACTTTGGATGAGCTATTACCAGCAG